TATATATATACGTACAGATTTATGCATTTTGTATATTTGTTTGTATATGAATCTATGTTTTATATAGATGTAGATGTATACATATTTTTATGTATGATGTATGTTTGATATTTTTGTTTGTTAAATAGTTCGAAACAATATGCAATGTGGTCCGTTAATGTCATATCTTTTATGTACTTAAACTTACAGGCGAAGCTCAATAAACTGGAGAAAGAAATGAATCACACGGAAGCTGCTACAGCCGATCAGGACATGGTACGCCTTGCTTTGCTTGTGTGAGATGTATTGTGTGAAGGGGCTGTTATGTATTGTGTGAAGGGGTTGTTATGTGTTGTGTGAAGGGGTTGTTATGTATTGTGTGAAGGGGTTGTTTGGTAGTCGTTGCTTGTGTGAGATGTATTTTGTGAAGGGGTTGTTATGTATTGTGTGAAGGGGTTGTTATGTAATCCTTGCTTGTGTGAGATGTATTGTGTGAAGAGTCTGTTGGGTGCTATATATCGCATGCGCTGGGGTCGCCATGTGTTTGTGACTATCCCTGTATGCTACTGGGTGTTTTAGGACCTAATTCCGTTGAAGTGCTTAATATCCACCCTGAGTGACCTTTATTCAGGGTTTTAGGGTTTTGAAATATGTCATAGACATAGGCCACACATACATGTTTATATATGGCAGTGTAGAGAAAAGATAGACTGGTGAACCGGACAGGCCTATTACCAAGGCTCACACTTACTCACACGCACATTGGTGACTGTCGCACACACGTCGTGTACACAAAAACTGAAAACCCCCAAAACCCTGAAACCCTGAAACCTGATGTACACACTTGCATCGTACGCACACACTCACGCACACGCGCAAACTAACAGCGACCGATTTATGCACACGCACAGGCCCACCATGAACAACGGATGGTGATCACTAAACTAGTGGAAGAGACCGAACACCGACAGTGCCTACTAGACGACCACGCCTCAACAACACACACCACACAAACACACACTACACAAACGCACACCACACCAACGCACACCACACCAACGCACACCACACCAGCACATGCCACACCAACACATAGCTCAGCAACACACTCCAGTGGCACACAGTTCCGCCGTTCATACTCAAATGCACACGAAGACAGCTACCATGGACCATGGCACCTGGGCATATATGGTTACATCCCTTCCTCAGACGATGACGAGTACGACGGCAGACTCCACCGAGACACCTCCCATGGCAGCCATGGTATGCAATACCATCAATCGTAAATATATATATATATGTATATATATATATATGTGTGTGTGTGTTTGTGTGTGTGTGTGTGTTTGTGTGTGTGTGTGTGTGTGTACATATATACATATATATAGTTATTGTTCTGCTAGTTGTACAGTGATGCCGCACGTATTTCACGTATACATCCTTTTGAGTTCACTTTTGTGCAGAAAATATACCAGTGCTCCTGGTCAGTTGTTAGTATGAGACGGAGCAGATTGTTATGTACAGACAAACACATTCCGAATACATTCAAGACTAGAACGGAATTAACGGAAGAGTACATAAGATAAGCAATCCATCAGAGGACAAATTTTGCGATTCTTTTGATGTCTAGGTTTCAGGGTTATTGGGTTGTAGGGTGGTTTCAAAAGTTTCAAGTGGGTCGGGTTAAGATTCTCACTGTTCCGTGTCGCGCTCTTCCGATTGGCTGTCAGGGCAACTCAACGCTACGCCCAGTGGCGTCAGTATGTACTCCGACTCCAACGCACCAGGACTCCACCACTCCATGAGTCAGCAATCGGTCAGCAATCAGCCAATGGGAAGTCAGCATTCTTACAACCAGCCAATCAGCGCAGACCAGATTGGTTCGCCCAAAGGGGGGGTGCTGTATCTCACCACACCGCAGGCGTCACTGGTGATGAGCACGCACTCAGAAGTCAGTGAACACCCGGACGACTTGTGCGACGGGCCCACTGGTCTCAAGGCTGGACTGAGCAACACCTACAAGGTGGGTGTACTTATACGAAGGCTATTTATGAGAGTACGCTTATAGTGAAAGCTGCATGTATGTACATATATGTGAATAGTACGTACGGATGCGCACATATACATAATAATGGAAGGCATGCGCGCTATATACATGGTACGTATGAATACGGAGTGTTTATATACAATATTCATCTACTAGTTTCCATATATAATATTCATACACTAGCATTTATATATAATATTCATACACTAATTTTCATTTATAAATTTCATACACTAACATTTATATATAGTATTCATATACTAATATTCACATACAATATTCATACGCTATTACCCGCATGCAACACAATCACAGACGCACTCCCGGAGCAATTCAGGGACCAATTCCATCAACAGTCAAAGCGATGTGTACGGAGGGTTGGCCTCACCACAACACATCAGTTGCCATAGCAACAGCAATGCACGCCACAGCAACAGCAGTGCACACCACGACAGCGGCAGTGCACACCACGACAGCGGCAGCTCCTCCCGTCAGGTGAGCAGTGCCTGTGGCGTTGCACGTGCACCTGGCCTGTGCTTCTAAGCTGGTGTTTCTGTGTTTTATATATATGTATATATATATATATATATGTGTGTGTGTGTGTATGTGTGTATGTATATGTATATG